TTGGCGTTTCCATCCAACGTTTTTTTTTATGCGATAATCCAAAATGCGCATAAAAATAGGTGGATGGAAACAGCTACTGAGAAGGTGATTAGCTACACCTGATTGAGTTTACAAGTCATTTTTAGGAGGGGGTGATCCTCAGTGATTCTGCTTTTTATTTATTTTTTTTATTTTTTCTGACATGTTGGTGTTATATCTTTCACTTGGATGTTATAAGTTGGACTGAGTAAATACAGCTGGATAAAACAAAAACTGTCTGTCTCCATTTCAGGCTGCAAAGCAACATAAAATAATGTGATTATTTTAAAGAGGGGTGATTCTTTTCTGTACCCACTGTATAAAAGGCAAAGTGGGATTGTTTTTTTTACATGTTGGCCAAGTGGTGCCTTCCTGTCAAAGTGGGTGTTTTTTTGTCCAGGATAAACTACTGTGTAGAACAGACTTAATGCCAGAAGTCTGGAGACTATAGGCCACAAGAGTAATGCATGTCTGCTGTTACATTTCATGCTGATTAAGCTAATACTCCATTATGATAACTAGATCAGAGTACTTTTAATGTTTTACTGTTGTATCTTCTCAGTGTACTGAAGGTGTCTCAGGTGTTTAATGTGTGCAGGTATTATGTTATGTGAGTGAAGAACTCTCACCTTTTCAGATGTACTCGCCTCTCCACCTGGTGAAGTGTCCCACCACACTGGCTACCATGCTCTAAAGATAGCCGAGGTTTCTCTAGCATGAATGTCTTGCTGCACTGGTACCTTATAAAACAGGCAGCAGCACGTAAATGTAAAAAGATAGACAGAAAGAACTCTAGGAATACAAAAGGGCAGATGATTAGTTTTAACAGGCAAGCAGATTCTCTTCTCTAATTCCCCTAGAATCCCACAGCTTAATATGCATACAGAAACACCTACACAAACATACACAATCCCTACACACTCACTTTTTTTCAATTTTATGAACCTTTCCTGCACACTTTTGTCACACGGGTTGTTTTTTAGTTGATTGATTGAACCCCTAACTAACCTGTCTTATAACCTCCCTAATCTTTGTCTGTCCTTGCATTTCAAACACAGTGGACAGAGGTAAGAGACACTTCAGTTTCACTTTAAGTGTTTTGCTAAGGTTGCGTGTGAATAGGATTGTGAGTGCATTTTGTGTGCATCCTGGAAATGATTTTGTTTGTTTGTTCTAAGTCCTTGACCTAAATAAAAAAGTGTTTAATCTCTTGCTACTTGTTAGTTGATGGAAATGTGATTACAGCATGAACAGCTCATACAGTATTACTACAGGCTGATGGTGTTCCACCTTACATTGACTCTCTGTTTGCTTGATCACAGCCTCTGCCCCATGGAAAAAAAAATCAGGTAAAGCACTTTGTCCACTCTTTCTGTCTTGTATGAGACACTGGACCTAATGGGTCTGCAAATATTTCTTATGGGATTAAACATGTCCATCTGTTGCAGAGTTCGAGTCTTCACAAGCTACAGAGAAGAAGAGGACAGTTTATCAGATGGCTTTGAGTAAGAGAGTCATTGGTTTTATACAGAGGGACTGTCATCTAGTCATGCATAAAGTTAAGAAATCAATGGATAGTTCACCCAAAAATTAATATTTTGTCATCAGTTATTCACTGTTATGTCATTGTATGACTGAGCACCAAAGAGATATTTAGCAGAATGTCTGAGCCACTCTATTTCATACAGTGAAAATGGGTGTAGAAAAAACAACAACAAAAAAAGCATCATAAAAATAGTCCTACTCCAAGTCTTATGAACCACATTCCAAGTCATTTGAAGCCATATGGTAGTTTTGTGTAAGGTATAGTATAGGCTAGGGGTGTCCCCGACTACGGATTTTCATAATCGAATTGGAATTTTCTAATCTTGCCGATATTCGACTGATAGTCGAATCATATGTTTTGGGGGCGGGGCAAAATACATTACCAAGAGTCAAGTCAGACATTTGACAGTCATTATTACGTTAACACACGGAAAATGTGTAACGAACGCCTCGCAGATACAAACGGGGTAAATAATGTTTTGTGTTTTGATTAAAAGGTAGTTAACATTAAACGTCAGCGAAACCCTAAGAATTCACAAAATTTTTTACAATAGTGCTCTCATTATAACGTTATGTATATGACAGTAGTTATTAATGT